TTTTTTCTGGTGACCTACAGTTAATGATGCCATCAAGGTGTGCCATATAAGAAACTCTAATTGGGTTCCTTCCATGATCAGGTGTATGATCGAAGAATGAAGAGGCTAGTGGAGGAGATAATAGATGGAAAGATTGTTTTGTCAATGAGAGCCATTTATCAATCTAAATTTGGGCTTGGTCTAATGGATAATGGTATGCTTGGCATTTCAGAATTTCAGTGCATTGATCTTTTTAATATTACTATTGCTTTTTTTTTTTCTATCACAAGGGAGCTTCTACTGACTAACTGGACATATTAATTCATATATCTCTTGCATGAAAATTTATTCAACTTATATTGTCCCAATTTTTATGCAGGGGCAAAAGAAATCCTGCAGAGCCTCTCTGAAAAGCAAGGCAAAAAAATGGATGCCCTTGATTCAGCTAAAGATATACCAAAATTTCTTGAACTGTTTAAGGTATCAATCTCATTTTTGTTTCTTCTGCTCTCTTTCTATTACCAACTGGTGGTTTGGTTTACCTATAGGCATAATTAGTGCTAGCTTTTAGCTTTTACTGCATGTGCAAACCTTCAGCAAATGTCTAAATTCCCGGGATCCAGCCAGATGTTGTAAAAAAGATTGGATATACCATAAATATCACAAGTGCATTGTCCAGTTATTCCCTCAAGAATTGGTGATGGGTTGAAAAGGTGCAAATTCTCTGGCTAGGGTATGTGAGTATGTCTGATGATTTATACAGAGTATGAAGTAATCAACCCAGAAATTTTTCAAACCATTAGTGATGCAACCTGCACATGACCTGCTGAGATGGTCGAAACTACAAACTGATTTAAGGCCAGTAGGATTCCAGAGACATGGACATTTAGGTTTTCCTTTTGACGTGCCACCATAACAATTCCGAAGAATAATGGCACATACAAAAACAGACTAGGCAATCCTTCCAACACATTTTCTACTATGAATCAGCCCATAGCACATATCCAGTGCATAATGAGAGAGCTGGGAGGGGGAAATGAACAGCCAATGTGCTGCTTTGTGTGCTTTAGCATTGCTTGAAGAAGAGGATGGATAATGATGGAGAAAAAGGAATGTAAAAAGTGTAGAGGTTGACATGGTTGCCTGCTTGGTGGTGGAAGTTTCACTCCCCCCATCGATGGAGAGAAAAAGGATGAGATTCTGTGGAGATCATGTGCTCTGCCATGTATATTGATGATTTTACTGAATATATCTTGAAAGGAAAAAGAAAAAGACGGTCAAAGGAAGTCTGGAGCAACAGAGGATCCTGAATGTTCTTGATACCATGTAATTATGTAAATCATTGATTTGGAGATTGAACTTACTGATCATATTTCTTTTAACCATATTTAAATTAGATAAGTGAACCTGACAGTCTAAGGATGAAGATAAGCCTCTGCTAGGAGTTATATACAAGGCCAATGACGGATTATCAGTCTTAAGAGATACATGAGATAAATACACATCCCATTGTGTATACCTTTTTTTTGTTATCACTGACCTTTCTCTAACATGTCTCTCGTCTCTCATTGCTTTTTGTTGTTTTGGAATTCATGTGCTAATGTGCTACATGTGTAAATGTCTCTTTTGATAATTTGTTGACTCAAGTTCTGATCTATGCCAGTGGCGAATAATCAGTCTTATAATTCTTATTCACAATGTGTCAGTTTTAGGCGGCATTCTCCTGTTCTGATTATGTCTACTTATTGTAGGATCAAATCAACATGAATGAGGTCAAGTACCCACTGGAGCATTTTAAGGTGAGCTTTGCCTATCACACTACCTGGACTTTTTTCAATTTAATGGTCATATGGTATATACTCAGATGGACAGTTGATTGATTTTGATAAGCCAGTTTGTGTCTAAACTTTGGTAAATGGTAGTGAAGATGATTAAAACACGTGGATGATGATGAAATCAGTAATCACCTTTCGAGAATTGTTAGATATAAACTCTTAGAATTGCTAGTCTAGAGCTCCACATAGTTGTAGTCATATTAAGGATGTAAACATGCACAACTTCAAATATAATAGCAAGACTCAGACTTTCCAAGATATACTATTGTATCACTCATTTATAAGGCCTATTAGTACATACAGAGTATGAAATATGTATTGATTCCTCATTCCTTTTATAATAAGGTAAAATGGAAAGGCGCTGTGCATTTTCTTTGAACAAACACAGGCAATCTTTTGATTTTGTCAAACCCAAATATGAACAAACATTTCCCAGTCTGAACCCCAAATAACCCGAGCCTGACTTAGTCGACCAGTATGTGAGCTTTAATTCCTGTGGTTCATGCATCTCATCACTACTATTCAATCAGATTTTCACTTCTGGGGGCTCACCTTATCAGTCATTAACTCATGATATATGGTTTTATTAAAAAAATTCTCAATTTATTGTTTTTACTCACATGTTTCTTTCTAGACATTCAATGAGTTTTTTATAAGAGAATTGAAGCCTGGGGCACGACCAATTTCCTGCTTAGAGTGCAGAGATATCGCTGTTTGTGCAGCTGATAGCCGCCTTATGGCATTCAACAATGTTACTGATGGCGCAAGATTTTGGATTAAGGTAAAAACTGCTTTTGATTTTACACTTGAACACGCCTTTCCTATTTTAACTTATAGGGCCGGCGGCATTAAATTTATACTGCCAATTAATTGTATAAAATTGATTAATGTAATACTATTTCATGCAAAAAAACATAGTGGCAATATTTTACGCCGGTTTCCCTTCCTATATCCTTCCCATCATCTTCGATGGAGCCAAAATTTCACCATTTTTTGGCTTTGGGGTGTGATGGAATAAATCAAAATGGATCTCTAAACTGTCTGCGCTTCTTTAATTAATGAAGTAGCAATTAGTCAAGCAATGCAACTTTCGACATTGAGCCGGGGGTCTCTTTAGAAACAGCCTCTCTACTTTCGAGTAGGGGTAAGGTCTGCGTACACACACCCTCCCCAGACCCTACTCTTGTGGGATTTAACTGGGTTGTTATTGTTGTTGTTGTTTTCCCTTTCTATATCAAATCACAGCCTTCATAGAGGAATAACAGGTTTAAAATTCTAAATGTCATCATATGTTATTTCCAAAAGCATGGAAAATATCATGAGAAGGTGATAGTTTGAGATACTTGTTATTGTCACATTTCAATGGTTCCATCACAAGATTGATATTGTAACTTTTTTAAGTCAACCTGCAAATCATGGAACATGAACAAATCTAAACCAAGTAACCAACAATATTATGATTAAGTATAAAGTTAGCAAATTTTGTATCATTAACATTGAGAATATGGCACATCACATTAGGGCCGAAAATTTTCCATCCAAGGGCTTTTAGGGAATGAAGCGTGCTCCAATGAATTTATTGATGGAAGTTTGGTGATATTTAGGTTGGCACCACAGGTAGTCTAACATTTAATTGTTTCTAAGTGCTACGTTATATCTTTCCATATAGACTCCAAATTTTATTAACAATACATTTATTTCCATTTCAGGATTACCATCGTTTCCATTTTCCAGTCTCTGGTACTATTGAGAAATTTATAAGTATACCTGGATGCTTATATACAGTATGTGGACTGTGTCTTTACCTTCGAATCATATTTGATATCCTAATGAGTAATGACAGCTTTCTTTAACTACTTAAAACCATTCTGATTGCTCCACGTCCTATACTTCGTGCCTTCTAGGTGAATCCTATTGCTGTCAACAGCAAGTATTGTAATGTTTTCACAGAGAACAAGAGAGTTGTATCAATAATATCAACACAGGACTTTGGAAAGGTTTGATATTTTGAAAATTCGGCTTAAGTTCACAATTTTATGCCTTCTTTTCTCTAAGAACTATAACACTACTGTTATTTAGAAGATCAGCATGTTATCAAATCTATGGATCACTGTTTCTTATGCTATTTGTGTAAGCCACTTATGATTTTCCCATATGTATCAAATCTGGAACAGCCTAACGAATTTTTAGAGTTATATGCATGAGTAGTCCATGTGGTCTTTCATAAGTGGGTTAATAGTCCTCGAACTTCCAAAACTTGCAAAATAGTCCTTGTGGTCAACGAACCATTGCAAAATCAGTCCCTTTGTTAGAGAATTCGTGAAATGTGCACAACATGCAAAGATGTGAATCATGTAACAATAAAATAGATGATCTGAAGTTTCATTTGTGATGTGTAAGTTTGAGCCACACTATCTTCCATCTTTTGGTTTAACTCTCAGAACCACGTCTTCAACATTGATATTCTTGAATCGTAGAACAACGTTCAATGTGAACTCCACATTATTTTGCTTTTCAAGTAGCTTTGATCTAGGGTAATATCATGTAATATAAGAGCCGGTAAAAGACCATTCCTTGCCTTTAACCGCGAAGACGAGGGCAGTTTCATCAGATTAACTTCTTTTTTTAATTATATTCTTCACATTTTCACACAGTACACATGTCTTTCACGAGCTTCACATTTTCCTTAAAGGACTAATCATGCATCAACACTTTGACTACAAGGACTATTTTACAACTTTTAAAAGTAAAGGGACTCTTTACCTACTTATGGAAAACCACAAGGACTATTTATGTATATAAGTCAAATTTTTATAATGACATGGACTCATTGATTAGATGTGATTGACAATAACCCTTTTGGCTAATTTCCTTTGAAATTAATTTTGTATTCTACTTTTTTTGCATGCATATCACTCCTTGCACTTGGAAGATATTCCTTCTGTTTCATTTTATTGTTCACACTTGCATGAGCACACAGTTTAACACCATGATGAAGTGGATTCCTGTTTAGATCTTTAGAGAAACTAATGTAGTGATGATTGAAAAATGTGGGGTGCATTATAATAATTGGGTAGTTTATTTTAATTAAGTTGGCCCTTTCTGAAACTGGAAATATGAAAACTAATAGAACAACCCAAAAAAGAAAGTGTGAACAATATTATTAAATGAAGTTAGTATAGTATAGGATGGTGTAATTATGGCATGAGCAACTTCACAATGCAAAGATTCTTCCAGTTGTAACCACACATCATACACCTTGCACTCCACTGTAACCCTACAAGAGCTTCAGGGATACTATTTCCGCCTCCAAACAAAAGTCTTGGTTTGACTTCACGGAGTTTAAGAAAGTTGTGGAAAAATGTGTGGATCGAATCAATTTAGAGGTGAGAGAAATGTTGTAAGCCATTTATTCATTTCCTTTTATGGAAAGAAAAGAAGTTGGAAGTTTTTTTGGGGATGAAGGAAAAGGGAAAGTAGGAATTTTATTTGGGGATGGATGAAGTATTTTGTGCATACACACTTAAGGGTCCGTTTGAATTAAGGGTTTTTAGGGAGGGGAGGAGGGGGAGGAATGCTTTGGAGAGTTTGGTCTATATCTTGATACATATTTGAGGTTTTATAAAAACTAAAAGATTAACATAATAAGTGATAGTTCATAATTTCTACTTTGTATAATTCTACTCCATATTATACAAAGATACAGGTTAAGCTCTCCAAAGATCCAAAACCCTTAGGGTCCGTTTGGTACACAGAATTGACAGAATTAGAATTGAATATGGAGTTGAAATTCTATGAAATTGATTTGGATGAAATTGAATTCTCCAATTCCAATTCATTTTTGGCACTACCATTTCCAAATGCATCCACATATTTTTGTGCTACTAAACAACATAATTGGAATTGTTGTCCCTAATTCCGATTTCATAATTTGAATTCCGTGTACCAAACGGAGCCTTAGGGTCTTGGACGCTGTTCATCTACATTTTTTTCAAAACATTCTATGAAGTCAAACTTGTTTCCAGTCTTCTTAGTAACATGCAATTCTTGCTTGTCATTGTATTTTTTGTAATATCATGGATGGCCAAGATGTTATTGTTTTCTTTATTTCAACTTAAAGTTTTATTTGTTTCTTAGTGTGAGATTTGTGTTTTAAAATGCAGGTGGCCTTTGTTGCAATTGGAGCAACAATGGTCGGCAGCATCACTTTTTCCAAGAAGGAGCATGACTATGTTCGCAAGGGAGACGAGGTTTGTGAATTGTGATTAATGACATGAGCTTTTAGTATGCATTCCTAAACTTTTACAGTCTAGTTTGCCAATCCTTCTCATCCATTGTTTTACAGTTTGGATATTTCTCCTTTGGTGGAAGCACAGTGATTTGTGTCTTTGAGAAGGTAAGTGCGCTCGCACCTTACTGAATTTAAAAAATGTGCAATCGCTGGTGTTATTGTGTTTGTCTATTTCACTTATAAAATTGTTGATGCCTTTGTCCTCATCTTTGGAATTACAGTCACTAAAAGCTAGCCAAAAGCTGGACTGCTTATGTTTAAAACTTAAAAATATAAGATGATGTTTGGTAATAATGTTTAGGGGTTTTAGTGAACTGGTAAATATAAAAAGATACAAAAGAGAGTGAGTCTTGATGGAGAAGGTGCCCTTATAGTGAACTTATAATTAACTTATCAAAGCTATAAGCTTTAATAACCATATCCTCCCCTACACAATGAATTTGTCAATGGCAGTCACATCATGATTACCATCGTAGTATCCTACAACAACCCCAGTAAAATCTCACAAAATGTAGGGTTTGGAGAGGGTGTGCGGACGCGTATGCAGACCTTACCCCTACTTGGTAGTAGAGGCTGTCTCCAAGAGACTCTAGGCTCAAACTTAATAACCAACTTAGTAAAACATTATGATTATCATCTTAATGCATTAAAAATCAAGGTGCTAAGTCAGGGTGTGACCGATCCATTGAAGAGCTATTAATTCAAATGCAGGGGTCAATAAAGATAGATGAGGACCTCTTGGAAAATAGCGCGCGATCACTTGAGACATTAGTTTTGGTTGGAATGCAGTTGGGCGTATCCATAAAGAAACACGCTGGTGTCCGGTCAAAACTCAAAAATCTTTCTATAGAAACATGACCGAGTTTGCTTTCTATGATTATTTATTTCACTTGGAGGAACAAACACGAGAATGTGTGGGATTTCGTTTCCTTAATCACGCTTCAGGTGAATATCATTCTGACGCCTAATTAATCTTATTGTTTATGCATACATCCTTGTATGTGCTTTAACGTTCTTAATTCTACAAATTTTTCTTTAGGTAAAAAAAACTGTCACAGAATATGTTCACTTTGTCTTCAACATAAGTAGAAGAATAGTCACTTTGTTATTGTAGTCTGAGCAATGCTAGGGGTACACCTTTTGGTGTACCCCAAATGTACACCACCCCATTCTCCACCACATATTTTTATTTGATTTTTATTTACTTATATTTTTTAAATTTTTTTGCCTTTTTTAGTGGACAAGGAGGGGGTGGGGGACATATGGGGTACACCTTTGGGTACACCTTTGGTGTACCTCTAGCATTTTTCTTGTAGTCTAGCAAAAAAAACTAGAAAGGGGTGGTGCCATTGACCTAAGGTCTAGAGTAGACTGCCAGGAAACACAGGTAGAAATCAAATTGAAATGGATTTGGAGTCAATTTCAAAAATTTCATTGCGCAAAGGACCAGTTTTAGGGCACTAGGCGAGACTGTGCTAGTCCTACAGGGCATAAGTGTTTCATGTAGAAATCTGTTTGGGTACTTTTTTTTACAAGCAGTGACAACATTATTTTATTATTTTATCAAGTGAGAAATGAAAATAAGTGAAAGGAGTTTATATCTTTGACAGTGTAAATAGAAAATTGAAACATTTTTATGGGACATAAAGAGTATATTTTTTATTTATCAATGATGCGGTTTGATAATAATTTGTTTTATGATAATAATAGAACAAAGAAAATAATACTACATTTATCATAATAATAATATTTTATTCCCTGTTAGTTTTATATTATTCCTATTTCCTAATAATGAATTCTACACCAATCTTCAGTATTTACCATTTTCCCTTGTGGAGCTTACGTCATTTATGATATAATGCTTTCCTAAGCAGCCACCAATATTTTTTACTCTCATTTTACTCCATTTTTTTTTATAAAAAAAAGAGCCATCTTGGCAGAACGGCTACATGAATTTGTGACCCTAAAAGGGCATCTGCCAAACGTCCATCATCATTCACAAATCACAAAAAAAGCTATACGGACACCAAATAGCCAGGAGAACAACAAGACCCTTAGACGGAGTCCTCCGTAAGAAATAACCCAAAATGGAGACGAATGTGTGATCCAGAGTATATTTTTACCATAAAAATAGAATTATTGTACTGTCATTACTCCGTAATATAATATTGTACTCCCTCCGTCCCAAAATATTCACAACATTTGCTTTTTCAGCAGTCGCGGGAATTTTTGTTTATTTCTACGTTTTCATTGGTTATTTGATAAAATAAAATATTCTTGATACCTCTTATTTCGAAGACCTTTTCATGTAGTTTTTTGATATGTAAATTTTATTTTTTATTTCTATAATGAATTTAAAAAATTTGATATTTTGCCTCAAGAATACAAATGTGGCAAATATTTAGGGACAGAGGGAGTATATTGATATTTTACCGCATTTTTTTGGCAATTCTCCTTCCGTCCCTGAAAATATTTCAATTTTCACTTCTTATCTGTCACATAAAATATTTTAATTTTGTCTAAATGGACATAATTGCCCCTACGTTTCTTAAATCATAACAACATTGTAACAAGTTGACATTGTATTTTGGCATTTTTACAATATCTTTTGTTATTATATATTAGTATTATTGGTCTTATTCTAGAAATAAAAAGGGAAAATTCATACGGATAATTCCAAAAAATATGAATTTTTATGAAAATACTCCAGATTTAATAATTAACAACTTTTTTCCCAACTTTCTTATATTTTCACATCGTTACTCTCAACTTGCCCAGTCAGCTCCTACGTGAGAAAAAACCAACTTGAATTTTAAGCACTATTTTTTTATTTTAAATTTATTATAAATGAGAGTCCTAGATCTTTTAATTATTTTAAAACCTAAATTTCATTTAACTATACTTTTTAGTATAGGTAATTGCTCCATTTACATTATTTTCAATTATATAATTTTATTTTATTAATCTACATGGAGAATCTAACCCAAATTATTAATATATAATAGATGGAGTATTAATAAATATTTTAAATTTATGAGGGAAGTCAAATGAAATAAATAAGATTATGAAGGGGATAGAAATGCAATAAGGGAGGAACAAAAGTACGAACACAGTGCGTATGAAGACTTAAGGCTCTCATTTTTAATTGAATTAAAATGAAAAAAAATTCAAAATACAAGTTAGTTTTTTCTTTTGTCTAGGAGCTGACAGGGCAAATAGGAGTAACGACATGAAAATATAAAAAAAGTTGGGAGCAATGATGTTAATTATCAAATCTGGAAGTACTTTCGTAAAAAGTCATATTTTTGGGAGTATTCGCGTGTGATTTTTTTCAAATAAAAATATGAAGGTTCTATTTTACTTTTTTTTATCTATGCTTTACTTCTATTTAGTCTTTTTCTCATAAGTTTTTATGTGAACTCCACTACTTTTCTCCTTTTCCTTCCATTTTCTTTCATATTGAAACAAAACAAATGTATTTTGTATTTTCTCTTCCCTAATTTTCTCTTCATCTAAGCACACTAGCAGGGCCTAGCGATGTACTCCATCTATCTTAAAACGAACTTTCGGTTGCGATTTACGATGTTTAACTGAAGTTATTTTTAACTTGGTATATTAAAAAATTATTGTAGGGTTTAAAATAAAAAATACTATAAAAAATCTACGAAACCAGAGATGACATGACTATACTACGTATTATTTTATTAAATACATAAATAAAATAGACTAACAGAGTAGATAAACTATGGGGAAAAGACTAAACTAGAAATAAAACATTGAAAATATATCAAAATATGAATTCCATGTTTTTATTACTGAAATATGAATTAAAATGCATTTACATTATCAATTATGACAGTGTACATTACCAAAAAATATAGTAGTAATGAAATGTCATGTACGGTATGTGTGTGTGTGGTTGAGTGTGATGTGATTCAAATTAAACTATTCCACCAAACTTGAAAGAGAGCTGTCCAAGTGAGTGGTGCGGCCATGCCCTGGACCGATTAGGAGGAATCAAACACTCATTTCAATTCTCCTCCCCATTTTCGGAAGTCAACGGGGAGCCCATCGAGTGCTCTTCCCCCCCACTTTGAAGCAATAACTGTGCACTGGGTCACTTATGGTCTCCTCATAATATAACCTACGTTCATGGACATAACTCAACTGGTTAAATAAATTAAGGAAGTTATAAACCCAAGTATGATTCATGGTAATTGCGTTAGAAATAGTTACGCTATGTACAAACTCTTTGAAAGTACCAAGTACACACTTCATCATTAGTTTATTTGACACTCTGTGGTTATAATTTAATTTATTTCTTCAAAGGTGTCTGCTTCGCTGGTATTGAGGCAAGTAGGGCTCAGTGTTTTTTTATGTTAATATGATTTGTGTTCGACATTGTTCAAGACGTGGCCGTTCAGCTGGTCGAGGAGTTAATTTAAGCCGAATTTAAATTCTGGAAACAACAAAAAAGAAGAATCATGTTATAAATTGAGTTTTTTTGCAAGAAATCTTCATGGATAGGAGTAAAAAAATATAAAAATATCAAAATAAGAGTTCTAAGTTTCTAAGATCAAAATAGGAGTATAATGACAGTGTGCTGTAAGAGTACACGTTGGCAGTGTGATGAAGCTCTGATGACAGTGTATTATGTTAGTGTGATCAGCCAACCGTTGGTGATGATCCGTGGCGACACTCTAGTGGTCGGCGGCGATGAATGACAGTGTGGCGGTGATAATGTGGTCGTTATAATTCAATGTAAAAATGTAGTGTGTATGGTAGTGTGAATTTATATTTTGATCTTGAATCTTTTATGAGTCCTATTTTGGTGTTTGCATGTACCATAGATACCATTTTCTCTCGATAACACATTTCGTACATTCTAGTGTATTGTCCCGGTTGAGAGAACTCCTAAGTTGATAAAGTTGTTTGAGAAATTTGCCTAAATAAGACTAAAATATATTGACTTTCTCAATATATGACTATATGTTTTTTTTTGAATGTAGGACTATTGGTGATTATCCATTAGTCATTATTCAAGTAAATGTCCACCATCACTGGATATTGTTTTTCCTCACTAGACATTATTAAGTATTATTTAGAGAATAAAAAAATTCAAATCCTATATTAGGAAATGACTTATGTTTTAATGCTATTTAATAAAAATTTCACAATTTTTTTATGATATGTATTTGACATTTTGACCCAATGTACCATTACGCCCATTAGATTCTGATGGGAGCATTTCACCACCCACGTGGCACCACTAGGACATGATCTTAACCGTAGCCCGTAGGCACCTATCATTAACCATTTTCTTAAGCAAAAAAGTTCAAGAGTTTTTATAATGGGGCAACTCTTGACCACTACCATTAATCATTACTTTTTTTATGACCATGCTACACTTACACCAAAATTTGTACCCCATTTATACACCGCAGTTATGAATAAACATTTTGATGATTTACACTGACACAAGCGTTGGTATGTTAACAAAAATTTACACGGACACAAAGTGTTGGTGCGTTAATAAAAATTAATTTTACACCAACACAAAATGTCGGGCAAACTTGCGGTGTACAAATTGGGTACAAAAATTTGGGGTACAAGTAGCTTTATCCTTTTTTTATTTTTCTGTCTCACCACAAAATCCTGTAATGATATCGCCTTTTTACTAACCTCTCTACTTTATTTTATATCATCTATTATTTTTAATTAAAAACTTAAATAAATAAAAATAAAATACACATAATTAAAATAAAAATGCTAACAACGATACTCTCTCCGTCCATAAATAAATTTCCCATTATGCATTACGATGTTTGACTGAAGTTATTTTCTGTTAAAGAGTATCCCACATCGGAAAAGTGTGAGGAAAGTAATTGGTATATATAAGCTCTTGAATTGAACTAACTAATTGATTGGATTCAATTTTTTAATATGGTTCAGCCCAAGTGTCTTATAGCCCAATCCAGATATCTTTACACCATCCTAAGTTCTATCATGGTATCAGAGCAGGTTTTGGCCCACCTCGTTTGTCAAGGTGTCCGTCTAGACGTTCATTCCTAGTGGACCGTTTGTCTTTAGCCCAGTGTTTCGTATGGAGTATGTACCCAACGGCCTGTGGCCCATTTAACACGATTGCTCGTCTGGAAGTCCATACCCAACGGCTCGTGGTCCTTTAGGTGTTGACGCTAAAAAAAGTCAAGGGAATGGGAGTTCATTTGCAAGTGGTCAACCAGTTAGATTCAAAATGGCCCGGTTGTCCACTTGAGGGGTAGTGTTAAAGATCATCCCACATCGGAAAAGTGTGAGGAAATTAATCGGTATTGATGGGTATATCCCTATACCCGACCCGGACAACCGAAAGGGACAGGTCAAAATATGACCGGTCACTTTTATCAATCACCAAATGAGGTTAACTCTTCGATTGGGACGGGTCAAAAAGTTGACCGGTCACTTCCACTAAAAAAGTGACCGGTCACATTTTGGGCGATAGCCAAAATGTCGCCTAATGTTACAAAGGACATTCTAGAAGACCAGAGACGGGTTGAGCACAAAGAATGACCAGGTAACTTTTGAGAGAAGGTGACCGGTCATATCACTTTACTTGGCTAACATTGGTTCAGTCTATTAGGCATGGTGAACCACGTCAGAGGTCAAGGGGACACCCCGCCGCTCATCCATCACGAGGCACACAGTGAAAGGGATGTTTGTCATTTTGCAGGGTTGATTGGATTGAGAATATCCATTTTAGTCTTTGATTGAACAGTACATGTCTTGGCCTATAGTTGCTAAATTCTATGATTGTACAGTGTTCCCATTATCTACAGTGACCTTCCCACGAGCTTCCTATTTTGTCCATGGATGAACAGGGGAAGGTCACAAATCCTCCTCTATAAATATGATGATATTGGATAGAGGGGAGGATCCAATTTTTCTCTCACTAAAGTTCACTCTTGAGATAGAGTAAGAAATATAATTCGGACTGAGGAGATTTACCCGGTCTAGGTCATACTCTGTTCTTGTTGTGTGTTTTATATTACAGGTCGAGTGTGTCCAGGTCAAACCCGGTTAACCCACCC